ACCAAGTAAATTAAACAATTTTTAACATTAGTTGAAGTTTTTATTGAGCTTCTAAAAAGAAGCAAATCTTCTCACAGTTATTAATTAAAGTCAGTTTATATTTCAAGAAAAAAGAGACTTTTTGAAACATAAATAATATCTGATGTTTGCTTGCGACTAAAAACAGCTAAAATTGGCATACAGAAAACAGCATCAAAAAACAGCATATTTATAATTGTGCACTACAATTTTGATCTTATGACTATGTAAGGCAAAAATTAAAGATAGAAACTGAAAAAAAAGTAATGTTTTTACTCTGTTATAAACAACAAAGAAACATAATTTGATAATTTTCCTAGCAAAGGAAAAGGCTAAAATACAGTAGAAATCAAAAACGAAGAAGAAGAAGAAGAAGAAGTTTAAAAGGAAAAAAAGAAAACATTTGATAGCAACAAAATTTTGCAGTTTTAACAGTGCTTTTCTAAAAACATAATTCAGAAAAATTGATACTTTTATAAAGTCTAAAATTGCCTGTTCATTTCACTCAGATACCGGAAATATATTTCAACTTTCAATGTTTCAACCAAAAAAAAACGACTTAACCAGTATAATTTTTAAGAATTTTCAAAAAGATTTTTTTTTTTTCCTTCAAAGAAATATTTTTTAGATAATAGAAAAAAAAAGGGTAAATAAAAAAAAAAAATTTTTGTGCTAAACATTTCCGGCTTATAATACAACACCAAAAAAAAAAAAAAAAGTTTATTTCAATAGTAATTTACCACCGTTATAATAATCACCGTCACTCACCAACAACTGCACTTTTTCAACGTCTTATTTTTTCTATTCTCATTGAAATAATTTTTATATATAGATTTTTCTTCATTTTTTTTTTTTTCTATTCAGTTATTATGTCAATTATTTCAATCTGCTGATGCGATATTTTACTTGATAATTGCTAAGTAAAAAAAAAATTTTACCTAACAATAAAAATTAATCTGATCATCCGTATTTTGCTAAAAAAACTAATTGAAAAGAAGAGAAGAAACAGCAATTTTTTTTCTTTTTTTAATTGTTAGGTATATTCCTCATTAAATAAGGGATAAATAAGTGCATAGAGATAAATTTTTTTAAATACGTGAACAATCTGATTAACATCAGAAGCCATTTCTATGAATGAACAAAAAACTAAAAAAAAAACAACGTTAGTACCTAAGTAATTAAAGTTAATAAAGCAGTAAGCCAAAGAATGAAAAAAAAAAGAAATGAAAGAATGTTTGAAAAATTTTATCAACTGTGAAAGTAATGCTTTGAAAAATCCATCATAATTACTTTCGTTCATATTCTTTTTTTTTAATCACTTTTTATTGATAACAGCAATAATAGTAATGTTAATAATAATAATAATAATAATAATAATAATAAT